ATCAATCAATCAATCAATCAATCTCTCTCCATATTTGTTTGTATTATGTATTTTTAATTATACATACATATACATGTGCATATGCATATGTATATACATATACACATGCATATATATATATATATTTATGTATATGTATATATATATATATATATACATGTACGTATAAGTATATCAGAAAGAGCAGAAGAGAGATGCACGGGAAGGCTTGAGTCGCCCCTTTAAGCATGGGAGAAGACGAGTGATAGCGTGAGCGAAAAACGAGCAAAAGAACGAAACAGAGCGGGGAGAGAAAGAGAGAGCTACGGCAATGCGGTGTGGTGCTGGGGAATAATGTCGCGCGAGACAGCTGAAAGCTTGACAGCAAAGCAAGATGCGATAGCACAGGGTTTGATGCGTATGATACGGTGTTAGGCTGCTCTTTGGTAACATCTTCGTTCCCCTTGACCGAGCTAAGTAGGAACAGAGCACGCAGCCCGGTTGTCGGATGCCTTGTCCGATGCCTTGGGCCATCAGAAAAGAAATCATGGATGTCGAGCCAACTTGTGGTTCACGAAGGAGGTTGCAGGATTTTCGGGGCTCAATGCTTGATTGTTTATCCGTGCAGTGTGCTGGCGGTTGCGCACTGCCAGATTTAGCAGAATGTTTGCTTCAGATGTGCGCAAGAGGGACCATTTCGTTTCATGCTCGACTCTCGTAGAGCGCCATACGTAGACTTGCAGGGCTTCGACACGCCGGAGCGCATTTACAATTTGTGTAGTTTGTAGCACTCCAGATTCGAAGGCTTTGCTCACCCGGCAAATTGCAGTTCTCAAGGCCTTCGGAAGGGGTCTACAAGCTCGCAAGTGCAAGATTGCACCCACCAGCTTTTCTAACGGCATGAACAGACCGATATGTTACATGATTATTTCCGGTCCAAAAAGCTTCGCGGTGCATGTTGCCCAGATAGGAGGCATGGCCTCTGTCATGGCCTGTAGGACCGGTCGTGATGGACTCATTGGCCCATTGGGCCGCTAGTCAACGACCTGCCACGAAGCGGAAGCCCTTGCTATCCGCAGGGCGGACTAGCTAGAATCTGCTAGAAAGTTTCATCGCGCATCGCGCGAGCCAATGCCTCACCTCAGACAGCAAATCGGAAAAAAGTAAGGACTGCCGTTGCCTGAACGCGGCCGCACTCGCTACACCTGGCTCCTGCGGCTCTGACAGGTCGCAGGCTCTGGAGCAGCCGAAACTGGCGCTCTTTCAAGCGCCCGGGCCCCGGCAGGGGTCGATTCGGCCGGCAGATGCCGAGTCCACGATGATTCCGTGTTTACCGCACCGCTGTCGCAGGTAGCTCGTGGTCTGCCTCCTGGCACTGAGCCTCCAGAGGAACCCAGAAGAAGACGTGTTGGGACTAGAACAAGATGTAAGATTACAGCTGTGCTTGCACCGCGTGAAGCCCACAACCCAACCCCACGTCCACCACGTACGACCAGCAGGAGCCTGCGCCGTTGCAGACTCTTCAGAAGTGGCGTTGCTGCAGTAAGGAGTGAGGGCATGCAAGCACGACGGAATGAAATGGAATCCGAGATGCAATGTTACAATATCACCGGGTAGTTTGCAGCCATGGACAAAGATGTCATGCGAGCTGGCATTGGCTGTCGTTTCAGTATATCTTCGGTTTCATTTCGAGGACGTGGGCCTTCGGTCATTTGGGCAAGGAGTTTGTGCCTCGCATCTTTCCTTGCAAGGCCAGAGCCAGCCAAGAAGGCCACGGGCTGAATGTGGCCTCTCAGAGGTTGCGCTGGCAGCGAGCTGTTCAACCTGCGAAGTCGTGAGAACTGATTTGCAAACATGTGGTCTTAGTGGCGGCTGCGGAGGCCCGGCGATGCTGCGGCGGCCGCTGTTCTCGCTGCCCTGGCGCTTCGCTGCTGTCCTGCTGCTTCTCATGGACGTTGACGGATGTGCCTGCCCGAGCTCCAGGAGCGCAAGCAAGCGCCAACGCACTAACAAACCGAACTGTAGCGCAGAGGTGCTTTGCTCAAGATGAGGATCTTCAGACAAAAATGCAGCAGAGACTGAGGTCAAGAATTTCTTGCTACAGATTCCACAAGTCTACTGCGAGACGCGCCTCGCTGCAATTTCAGCTGCTACGAGTACTTGTAACAGTAACGCCACTTTCAGCTTCAGCAGGTTCAGGTGCAGCTTCTAACCCTGTTCCGCGATAGCATTAGACAGCACGAGGCTGGCACGAAGACCGTGGGCGTTCTTGCTGTTGTGGGCAGCTGCGCCGCAAGCAGTTTGACAAATGAGAGTCCGGTAGTCATCCTTGAGTGGTTCACCGCCGTTACCCAGCCATATCCCAGTCAACAGCGAGGCCATAGCGGTGCTCATAGTGCTTCCAATGACGTGGAGGCGTGCTCCCCAGCTCGCGGCCGGCAAAGAATGAGACGCAACTACATTGATGTAGATCCTGAGCTGACATGGATGCTCGTACCATGTCGTACCAAGGCCCATCGTTGTAAACGCCGATATTGATGCCTTCCGGCGTGCCGATGCGCCAGCAGCGAGAGGGCAGCTGGCGTCGTGAGCTCGGCTTGTGCTCGGCAGCACGTCCAAAAAAACAAGCTCCACGCAAAATAGCAGAAGCTTTTGGTTTTCTGTGCTCTCCGGCTGAGGTATTTGGATTCCTTGAGGTTTATGCGAGCTGTGAGAAACGAGTCCGCCCGACCCTTGGTCATCTCTAGGCCTGCAACAACTGAAAGGTTAGGGTGCAGCGAGCATATCGGGCCGGCAGTTGGGAACTCGCAAGTTTCAACCCGAAAGTCACAAGCCCCATACGAGGGGCCGAGCCCGTGGCTTCGACCCACCCGAGCCTTCTCGCCTGCAGAGTCCGAGTTCCTTCGAGGAGCGTACGAAACCGTGTCAGTGTGCTTTTCCTCTTGGTTCCTCTTGTTGAGCGAGCATTGCCAATAGGATTTCAGCGTGACCTGGACTCGTCGTGAAGCCTTGCAGGCCCTTAGCCAGCGAACTATGCTGAAAGTGGAAATACTCTACGAGGCAAAGGATGGATCTGCCAAGAGCTCAGAAATGGTTTGGGTTTAGGGTTTCTCGGGGCCGGAGTTTCACCGTTGCTTGAGGCTTGGGATGCAAACGCTGAGTTGATTCGTTTCAGCTTTGCTTCACGTTTCCGCAGCCCAGCCGGTGCCTCGCTTCCTGGCATAGACGAAGGTGTAAAGGGGTTCGGGAGTAGCCGCTTCGGCGAAGAATGTCATTGCCGCGGGTCAGAGGAGAGGAGGTGGAAGCTGCATCAAGAGCTCGCATGAGGTTTTCTCCGAGTCAGTTCTGCGAGACATCCGTGCATTTGAACAGTCACTCCGAAGTCTCGCAGGCAGGGATTGGGATCTGCCTTCGGTGTCAGATTAGCGGCTGCTAGACCAAAATTCAACACTTTCCGGCCTGTAACTGAAGCATCCGGTTCTTTCGACGCTTGAATTGGCATCGGGCCCTGCTTGTGGTTCGGGAACTTTTGCCACATGTGGACGGATCAAAGGGCCCTATCGCAGCACTTGCCTTGCGACCTCTGAGAGGACAAATGCGACACGTAATTCCAAAGATTCTGTCAAGGTTACGCAGGCGCTTTGCAGTAGGTGATGCTGGTGCCGATCATTAAGCTGTCCCCTACCAGGTCGAGCCTTGTCAGCGCAGTTGCTTGCCAGGGTGGGCGGCTTTGTGCAACATGTCCGAGCCGGCTCTGCAGTTCCACTGCAACCCTGGAGACTCCATGGGCAACTACGTTTGGCCAAGGCAGGAGGGTTCAGGGTTCAGGTTTCCGTGGCGCTGGCCGGCACCTCAGTCCGGCTTCTGTGGAGCACAAAGCAGCCGCAGTGCTGTGTAGGCAGAGTGCGAGTTTTGTACTGCCGGAGTTTCTCCTCGATTCTTGCTGCTGACCCCTGCAGGCGCCTAGATGATTTCCTCAATGCACAAGGCCTGGGTCAGAAATAGCAGGAATTCGCAACGTTCGCAGGCAGGTTGCCAGACCCTTCAAGAAGTGGTTGCAGCTGGAGAAAAAGATGTCCTGTCGCATGTGTCAACACTGTAGTTACGAACTGGTTGTGGAATCCTCGGGCCGGGGAAGTCCGAAATGGTACACGGGAAGGTACAGGATGCGTGCCTGAGTGCCATGTAGTGTATCGATGTTTAGGTTCTTGGATGTTCGCTCGGAAGCTTGGAGGCTTCTTCAGGCTCGCCTTTGATGGCAGTGCTTTAGAACGTCTCGCTCTCAGCACGATTTAGGGTTAGGGTTTAGGGTGTAGAGTGTGTGGGTTAGGGTTTAGGGTATAGGGTGCAGCGTCACCGCTCACCTGCATAGAAGCGGGAGCGAAGAAGTCTTTGCGGTGCTGGAAGGCCTGCCAATGGACGCTGTCATCGCGTACTTGAGCACTCCCCTTAGCTTCGTACTGAAAAGGAGTTCAAGTGGGCTATATTATAGACTACGTATATATAGATTATAGGTTATATAGTTTTTGTAGAGTATAGATTGCAATAAGTATTTACTATATATGATAGATTGTATATTAGGTATTATGCAGTTTGTATTCACAATCATCATGTATCATATGCGACAGCATTTTATACATTCTTACATGACTTATTGTATGTGCTATGTAATATAATATGCATCACGCATTGTTCATTATATTTCATGAGGTCTGTCTTATGTAGCCTGTAGTGTAAGGAGGAAGGCCTTTTTGTTTTTGGAGCTGTCGAGGTGAAGGCCTGGCTGCACCACATGACTTGAGAATGTTCTTACCGATGACCTTCGCGGAGCCCTCCAGCGGCTCCAAGCCGTGGCCTCAGCGGTTTAGGGTTCCTTGTAAGGGTTATCGTAAGGGTCTGTACGTTACAACGGTTACTCTGAAGGGTTACGTTGAGGGTTCAGGGTTTCGGGTTCCTGTGCCTCCAAGACTCCGAGCATCTCAGAGCGAGCCTCGCCTCGCCTGGCGGTCCCAGGATGCTGCGCTCTGTTTTCGGCTTCGCCGCCCCGGACCTGAATGACACTCTCTTTCGTGAAGCTTTCCAGGCCAGGCTGCCATGCATGCACTTGTTCGATGCATCTCTATGCGTAGCGCGATGTTTTTTGCCAGGACTTCGTGCAGAATGAGCTGTACCCCTCCTTGCTGCAGGCAGAATGCGCAGACTTTAGAAGCCTCGTCGTCTGAATCTCTGCTTGTGATCATCGGCAGGCCGTGATCGACACACGGAAGCCGGTTCGCGACTTAGCACGATCCGAAACAGGAAGATGCACAACTTCACGTGAGCAGGATGAGTGCAAGCTCAGCTCATGCACGTCGGAAATTTGTAGCTCAATATCTAGAATCTAGAACTTGGACGCTGCTTGGCGATGGCAGAGGGAAATGGGGCAATGGGGTTATACGGCTACATAGGCATAGGCGCCCCCGAGTATCTACGAGTTGAGAAGGCAAAAGGCCACCCCAAAACCCCCCCCCAAGCCTGCGGTGTCGTCGGCTGCAGTTGGATCCTTCTAGCTGGGATCAGCCGGGCTCTCAGGAGTGCCAGAGTTTGGATTCAGGCGTTTGGGGTTTCGTCTTGGAGTCTAGAGTTTATTAAGTTAACTTTAGGGTTTTGGGGTTCAAGGCTCTACGATTCCAGGGTTCAGTTTAAGTTCAGGTTTTGGTGATGTTCAGTGGTGTCTGGGCTTGTGGTGTTGTTTTTTCAATTTGCACGCCCCCCTTTCACGCTGTCGCGTAGTTCAGGTTGCAGTTGCTGCGGACTGCAGATGCAGTGCCGAGGCCACCAGCAATCCGGATCTATTTCCGCGGGGATATGCTCGATGAGCACGAGCTGCTTGAAGCCCTTTACAGCCAGGGGCTCTGATTCGTCGGTATGTTCGGTCGAATGTCGTGCTGCAGAGTGGAAGACCAGGCGACGCCTGTTGATGGCTGAGGTGACATGTTGTTGGCGATTGGCCCGCTGTTTCCCCAGCCGTCGCCAACGAACGTGATACTGTTGATAGAGGAAATCTTGCACCACTTTAAGTGGCCGAGCAAAGCAGAGACCCCGCGCCCCCTTTTTAATATTGACTCTTGATCCTCCGAAGCGCCGTGGGTTCCAATGACAGAAATCTTGCACCACCTCGGTAGTCATCGTCGTCAATATTAAAAAGGGGGTGCGGGGTTATGCTCACGTGTCGCGTCACTTGATATTAAATAGGTGGTGCAAGATTTCCTCCATCAACCGTAGTACATGGTGCAGTCATGGCAGTTTTTCCTGTAGCCCGTTGGACTGCCTCGTTTGGAGGCTTTTCATCAGCCTTGTAGTGGCCTGGGTGAAGCTTCGCAGCTCCCTCCCCAGCTGTTGCACTTGCTGCAGAGAGGCCGGAATCCGGAATTAGGGTGTGGCATTTATGTTTTGCAGCTGCCGTCTACATATGGCAGGGTGAATCCAAGGTGCTTTGTTGGCTTTCGTTGGTACTACGTTCTTGTGTTGGAACCTCAGATTACGGACAATCCCAGCAGGCCAGTAGATGCCAGACTGGCCAGTGCCGGAAGCTGCGCCAGTGGCACTGGGCAGTTCCTGCGCATGTCTCGTGCTTGAGGGTAGCGGAGCACATACATGAGCGAAGCTGTCGCCAGTGTGACTACCCCATGCGCAACATGTAGACACACCTTCCAAGTTCGTGTTGCGAGGCCTCGCGGCTTTGCTTGCCTACATCATCCTGCCGGTCCAGGAGGCAGCTTGAAAAGGAGCCAGCGGTCTAGTCCGCAGCCAGAAGCTGCAGGTAAGCCCTGCCAGCTTGTTGGGCGTGTTTCTGCTCTTTGGCCTGGGCTTCTCCAGCATCTTCCGGATGCAAGAGGTGTGGCGACGTTCTCGCCACAGCCTCGAGGTGTTGGGTCGGGCTCGGATAGAGTACATAGAATGCATAGACTCTCTCTCTCTCTCTATACATATATGTATCCATATGCATGCATATATATATATATATATGCAGAAGTATATAAACACACGTATATACAAAAATACATACATGCATACATACGTACATACATGCATACATACATACATACATACATACATACATACGTACATGCAGACAGATGCACACATACATACATACATACATACATACATACATACATACATACCTACTCACATACATATGACCACACACAATTATGTGTATATATATGTATACACATCCGTACATCTAAATGAAAAAAAAAATATATATATATATATACATACAGATATACAGATATACAGATATACATATACACATATACACCTACATACATACATACATACATACATACATACATACATACATACATACACACACATATAGTTATATGCACATATGTATATATGTATGAATGTGGTGAAGGAAGTTACAATCACCCAATTTGCCACGACATTGTGATGGAGTTCACGTGCTCCTGAGTCTGCCTTGAAGAACTGCGAAGTCCTCGTGGGGCCAAGTTGAAGATTTGGCTATCAGGAGTGGAATTCACCACTGTTGTGCCTACAACCCTGGCTAGTGATTCGCACAGCAAGGCAGGAGGCGACAATAAGAAACAAAGCAAAAACAAACAAAGGGATAGATAGATAGATAGATAGATAGATAGATAGATAGATAAACAGATAGATAGATAGATAGTACAGTACAGAGTTCTACACACACACACACCTCAACCTATCTTTATGAATATGGGGGTGGGGGGCTCAAAAGGCTGGTTTGCGCCTTGCCAAGGCAACGAGGCCGAGGAACACTCCCAGCGCCTTCTGTACGTGCACCGGGCATTGTGCTCAGTTTTGGCTCGACCTGGGGGCGGTCTGCTTGGCATGGGCATAGCATGCCGCGGCATGGCACTTGCATTGCAGGGAATGGCATGGCATGACATGGCACGGCACGGCATGTCCGTACATGACATTACCACACGTAGGCACCCAATTTGGTTGTCTGTTTGATCTATGTGTGTATAAGTATAAGTAAAGAAATAATTAGATAAGTAAGAAATATAAATTCAGTAGTATATATAAGTAAATGTGAACTTAGAAATTTGTATATATATATATATATATACACATACATACATACATACATACATACATACATACCTACCTACGTACGTACATACATACATACATTCATTCATTCATATATATATATATATATACATACCTACATATACACATATTGTCTCTATATATATATATATATATGTATATACACATGTATCCTAGCTCTTGTGTGCGGGTCTGTCCTTCTTACACATACACAGAAGTATAATGCACGTACTGTGTTTGCGAGCTGATAGGTTGCTTGGAACACACTGATCTGCAAAGGCTGCGCTTCGAGAGATGCTGCCAGTGGCGGGATCGGCTTTTTGTGATGCCCTGAGAGTCTCCGAGAGTGCGGTGGCGGAGTGCCGTCGGTTCCTGCACAAGCGGCGCACATGTACCAATTGTCGCAGATCTAAAGTTGAGGCTACATCCTCCTCCGGGACTCCAAGCTCGTGCCACTGCGGGAGTTCGGGGTTTTCATTGGAACATCTATTTTCTTGGCTTGGGCCTCAGCCTTGCAGCGGAGGAAGAGCTCCGTGTGCTTGCATGCCGGACATTTCCCGAGCTTAGCATCCAGGCTTGTCCGTTGACAATGAGAAGGAACTACATTAAGATATGCTCAAGAGTTGAGTCTGCATTGAGCAGCTGTTGAGAGGTGCTGAACAAAAAGCTGTAAGGGAGGGTTTCCAGAGTTTCCATGGTTACCGTGGCCGGCAGTTTTGTCCCCAGGCCTGCGCGTTCGCCCTCCTCTGCTTCGTACCATTCCTGCTTATGCCGCGCCAGCCTGTTTTCGGAGCGTGGCTTGACTTGCAGGGTCGCCTGATGTCGTCTACAACTCGCGGTGCTGGCCACATAGTTGTGCTGGCAGACGACTCCATCATCCGCCTCTTCCTTGGCTGGCAGCGGCTAGGTATGACTGGGGCCGGTGGCTATGGTAGCAGATTAGCAGAAACACCTCCAAACAAGCGGCATGCAGCAACTCTAAGACCGAGGGCCCACGACTTGTTTCGGTTTCGGGGATTCGCGGCATGACTAAGCAAGACATACAGTAGACATGGCTGCGCGTTAAGCATCGACGGGGTGACACCTTAAAGCCTCGAGCGATGGATGGGGACACATCGGACGTCGATGTGGACTACTTGGACGATGTGGACTTCACCAGTGCCAGTGCTCCGATTGACGAGCACCTAGCCGCGGATTTGGCTGACGTGTCACCCGAGGTGTCAGATGCCCGCTCCATAGGCACGAGTGAGGAGCTCGATGACCTGGGAGCGGCTGGCATCGCAGTCTTGGAGGCCCGGCTCCGGCTTTCCCCAGCTCTTGGCACGAGAGCCGTGCCCGTAGCCCCTCCGGCTCCGGCTCCTTCGGCTCCTCCGGCTCCGGCCAGCCCAGTTCCACGCCGGCTTGAGCCGGAGCTGGAGGGTTCCGTGCGAGCCCTGGCGGAGCAGCAGCGCTTGCAAGCGCAGGAGCTGGCGGAGTTGCGCAGGCGTGCCCTGAGCACCAGCCAGAGCGAAGCCCCTGTCCAGGGCCAGAGCAGTCAAGATTCTGCCCGCCTGGCCGACAAAGTGCTGCGGGCGGAGGCGGATGCTCGGGGGGCACGCCAGGATGCCTTGGCCTATTCGCGCCGTGCACAGGTTCTTGAGGAGAAGTGGGCTCTGGGTGAGCGAGAGATCGCAGACCTAAAGGCAAAGATAGCCGCCGATGCTGAGGATAGCAGACGTCGCGAGGCTCATCTGGAGGAGAAACTGACCCTGAAAGACGCACGAATCTCGGAGATGACAATGAAGCTGGAGACAGCTGTGGAGGCACATTCGAAACGAGTGGCCTTCCTGGAGGCGATGCTGGCATCCCGCGATGCAAAGATCCAGGAACTTTCGGAGAAGCTGGACAAGGACTTTCGCCTGGTACAGCAAGATGCCGAAGGGCACGCGCGGCGCGTCACGCTTCTGGAGGAGACCCTGGTTCTGAGGGATGAGAGGATTGCCGAGTTGCAGTCGAAAGTTGACGGTCTCCGCGAGAAGAAGCGCGAGTTGGTTCGGAAAGCGGAGCTGGAACAAGTCAGCACAACGCAGGAAGTTCGAGACCAAGTGAATGCAGAGATTCGTCGCTTCCAGGAGAAGGCACAGGCAGACATCGAAGCCGTTCGCACAGGCCTGAATGCTCTGCATCAGAAAGAGGTCCACATGCTCCAGGAGCGCATCACCGCAGCGGAAGAGCGATCAAGTGGCCTGCAGTCCCGCCTGGACAACGAAGAGCAGGCACATCAGGCGCTGCAGCTGTCCGCCAGTCGTGTGCGAGCTGAGCTGCAGAACGAGATCACGGAACTTACAGGGTCGCTGAAGCTGAGGGTTTTTGAGATTGAGCGGGCCGCCCTGACCCACGAAGAGGTCAGTGCTGCGCGGCAGAAGCTCGATGCCGAGAACGAGGCTCTCAAGAAGCAGGTGGAAACTCTTCGAAAGGAGTTCTACAATCTGGAGCTTCAGTACAAAGAAGGCCGTGCAAGTGAAAGGGCCGAGCTCGCATCGCTGCGTGAGCAGATGAAGGGCTACTTGGACTTGGAAAGAGACCTGGACGCGGCTATTGCCGGGTGTGCCGAGGCTCCTTTGGCATCTTCTGCCGACGCACAGGAGGCGCTTCTCATCGGCACGACTTTAGGGAGTGCCCCAGCGAGTGCGCAGCGGCGGATCCAGCAAAGCTTGCTTTTGGCGCAAGAGCTGCAGCGACGTTCCCGTGAGCTCCGCCAGCAGACCGCCGCATCTGAAGAGGCACACAAAGAAATATGCCGGCTGAAGCTGGAGCTGGAAACAACCCAGCTCCAAGTTCGTGCCGCAGGTTTCTCAGAGCCACAGGTCTACTTGCAGAGCTCCCTGAGGGAGTGTCAAGCCGAGGTGTCCCGCGTCAAGTTAGAGCTGAAGTCATGCAAACAAGACTTGATGCAGGCCCAGCAGCGGGCTGAGCAAGCACAGAGAGCTCGCCTCCAAGTGGAAGAAGACATGCGAAAGCTGCTGTCCTCACGGGACTTCTTGCAGCAGCTGAAGCAGGAAATGGACAGCTTTAGGCCCATCGCGGTGCCTCTGAAGCAGTTACCAACTTCTCCAGTGAAGTGAGCGCTTGCACTGCATGTAATTCGACACGTCAGGCTCCCACCGACCGATGGCACCCGCACAGGTGTACAGGGGATTGCATTTTACATACCGAAGAGAGGCAGTGCCACACCTGCACTGATGGCCCAGGTCTGTTGGCTTGCATTTGTCCTGTGGGCAGCTTTGCGGCCTTGCCTGAAAGCCTCGTGTGTGTGTTGAACACTCGGTGAATGTGCCGGACCTTCGTGCAAAAGAAGACCGTGCTTCGTTCTTTAGAAAATGATCATGGCAGATCAAGCAGGAGAGGGCTGATGGACATCCTCTGGGAGAGACAGCTCTCGGTAAGACCATTGCTGCAAGTGCAGCCTTGCAGGCACGAGCGCACCTTTCGACCCTGGATTCGGCGAAAGTGCCCGAAAAAGCAGGGAGCTTAACGGGTCAACTTTGCCGGAGGCTTGTGCGAGCAAGCCGTGATGTGGACGAGCGGTCCAGGGTCTCACAAGGTTGGTTGGAGTGCTCGAGCCTGCCGAGCTGAAGCCAGACTGGAGTGATGTGGCCCGGGGCCAACAGGGCGATCCAATCATGGAGTTGTTTACATGCTTGAAGCCTGCCGTGGGGTGGCAAGGGATCATTAGCCAGTTCGTGCTTAATTCCTTTGGCTTGGCCACAGCGTGTCAGGCCGAGAAGGTCATGCTTGCAGTCAATCGGCCGAAGCCCGTACTTGCAGGCTCGAGCCTGACATGCGCAGTGGTACAGATGTACACAAGGTCGTCAGATGAACCCGTTGAGTTTCTGAGAGTGCTCCAGGTGCTGGTCTCGCTGTTGCCGTGGCTCTGATTGTCGCCGTGGCTGTGACGGCCTCCCAGCCACACCCAGCTTTGCCGGAGGTTTTCCCGCCCGCAGCTAAGCTTGTTCGGGTGCGGATAAGCCTAGAGTCGGCTTTTCTCCTCGCAGACGGAGCCCCGCCACCCAGTTTGCTGTACCCTCTGTGCCGGGTGTCTCCAAACGAGATCTTGTCATACTCGAACATAGGTTTCACTTCCAACCGACGCGAGGTTATGGGCATGTGCGAGAGTGAGCGCCGAAACCCTTAACCCGATCTTCCATGGCCGTTTTCTAAGGCCGGAGCACCACCGCGAGGCCGGCAGGCCAATGATGCAGAGCTTTGCGCCCTCCTCACTGGCAGAGGACTGCACTGCACGCTTGAAGTCGGGATAATTTCGTGTTTTCTTGGGATTGCGTTTTGGGGGTCTGTCGCTCCTAACTGGAGTGTAGGCCTAGTTTTTGTCCAACTCCCTGTCAGGGTCTTCGGTATCGGCAAGCAAGAAGCAGCTGTCATCTCCGATTCGGGCTTTTGGGTTGCGACTGAGTCACTGCCTCCTACTCCTTTCGAAATACTGCTGAAAGTAACGATTGAGCCTATCTAGGGCCTTGCAGATCTTCACGCCCTGCATGGGAAATCCCGTGTACAGGAGCTGGGCTTATAACCCCTGTATGCAATTGCACTTAGACGTAGAAGAAATACATGTGTCCGTAAATTGCTTCCAACTCCGTGCTTTGCTGTTTCGGCGGCTCGCTTCCGGTGCCTCCGGACTCCTGCGTGAATGTCTGCAAGCTTTTCAAAACCGGGCGCAGAGAATCCATCTCTGCTCCAAGCATCGAAGGAAGAAGCCCCACTCACCATCCGAATGTGCGAGCCCGGCCGTCCGGACCTCAAGAGAGGATTAGGGCTGCTTGCTGTTTCCATTGGCATCCTCCATCGTAGAGTCGGCGGCGAGTTTTCAGCAGCTCTGGCACAGGCGGATTGGATTCGTCGGGTTGCCCAGCATGTGTGGTGCTGGTAGCCTCGTGTTTGGGGAAGGAAGCTTATGTGTCCTGCGGAATCTTTCGTGTCCTGGACAAGCTGTTTTCCGAAGAGGATGCGCCATCACCCAGTGGTGTTTCTTGTGTCCCAAGATGTTCCAAGCTTTTCCGTACTGGCAAGTGTGCCTCTGTCTTTTGATGCTCATCCAGTCCTGTATGCCGCCAGCTTGAGAATAAAGAAGGATTCTTTCGCGTTGAGTGGGCCTGTTTATGGGGCTTCCGAGCTGACCTCCTGTGCATAGTCATAACAGTATGCTAGAGTAGTCGTAGTCATGAGAATAGCAGCAGAAAGTTTTTATTAATAACGATAATAACTTCGGTATGATAACAATAATACTCCGCGGACTTGATGAGGTGTGTGCTGCATTGGTGTGACCTGGAGAACACGCCGAGCAGCCGGGAGCCCTGAAAGCTTGCGTTTGGGTAGCATCCACTCCGATCCTGGAAATGTTTCGACAGTCAGAGCAGGCGCTCTCGAGAACTGAGCTGCCATAAACCTCTGGCCTCTAGCCGCCCCTTGAAGAAGACCACGCCCGCTGAGACAATCTGACCTCCTGGCCAGCATCTCAAGCCGCGAGCTCTGAGGACTTGTCTTGTGGGGGGTGCCATGCCCCACTGGGCCCGCAGCCTGAGGCCGCCACTTGTAGGTGCTACTCACAGCCCCAGACCGCGGCCTCGCTGGGGGCCCAGGAGTCAGAGCCAGAAGTGCGGAGACGAAGTAGTCACCACTGTGAGGTGCACGAACATCAGCCTTTCGCTCGTTGTGAGTGGGCCTCGTCCGGCGTCCTTAACGCAGGCCTGGCGCATCCTCACTGCTTCTTGCTCCAGCATGCAGCTCTCAAGACTGAAGCGCAGCCTGCGAGCCATATGCCTGTATGCCTGCAGGATGTGTTGCATGCGCAGGCGCTGAGCTTCGCAAGGGCCGTAGAGTCGATGATGCGGACGGAGCCAGTCAGCGCGGGTATCTTGTCTTCTGACCCATTCTGACGTCAGGTTTCGGCGGAGTATGCAGATGCCAACTCCGTAGAGGCGACCTTAAGTTGCCTTCGCCTGCTCGGAAGAAGCTGATAGCAGAGCTGCCCTCTCAAGATCACCTCCGCTACCAGCCGCCGGTTGCAGTCCGTGGTTTTGGAGGACTGGCCGTGGCGGTCTTGGCAGCAGTGGAGTCTTGTAGGGGCTTTGATCTCGTAGGAGCTGGCTTGAACAGAGAGCACAGGAGCTTCTCACACCAATACGCCTAAGGTCGGGGACGACGCAGGTGGATCCCCTGACGCAGCTTCCTCCCATAAACCTGGGTTTTGCCACGGCCAGGACTGGTGCTTGGCCTTTACTCCTGCGTGTGCGCTTTGTTTCCTTGCTTGTACACACTCATACATCTACTGTTTGGCCTGCACGCAAGCGCGCACACACACACACGCACACACAGACAGGCATACATACATACATCCATGCATACATACATACATACGTGCATGCATGCATGCATGCATACGACACAGACAGACATACATACATACACCATACAGACGTGCATGCAGGGTCACTTTGGGCCGACCGCCAATCAATACTTCCTCACATCAACACTTGCATGTGCATGAGTTGCAAACAGCCCAGACACTTCCAGGAGGTCAAGCAGCTCCTGTGAAGACTCGATCTACTGCTACTGCAGTCCAAAATCCTGTACGACACCGTCAGGACACGAAGGGCTCGAAGTAATGCTGAAGGATGTGTCTTTTCCACTCGATTGCAGCACTGCTAGGATACAGAAGAACTGTCAATGACCTAACGTTGCCGGCGCCGCCCGTGACTCAGCATGTTGCGATATGTTGCGGGATTGTGTTTTTGGTTTCATGGGTTATCTGGATTCGTTTCTCTCGGTGACTACCGTTAAGATCTTTCGGAAAAGCCGTTCCCGTGACCGACTTGCGTTGTCGGGCAAACAGCAGCCCACTCGCACGCCTCGCTTGCTTCGCCAGGTTAGGCGAGTGTTTAATTCTTGAACAATGACAAATCACAGGCCCCCTTGGAAACCTTTGATAAAAGCCGTGAAATCTGTTAATAAAAGCCGAGCAACATGTAGTGTACCAGAGTATAGCATAGTATAGTATAGCATGTACAGTAGAGTAGAGTAGCATGGAGTCTAGTATAGTACGTAGTGTAGTACAGTACAGTTTAGTAGCACAGCATAAAACGCATACTGTAACATGCTTTGCTGTATCATGCTCTGCTATGCGAGACTGTGCTACACGCATATGACATAGTAGAAAGGCTAGTATAATATCACACTATAACTTTTACTATATTTTATGTGTTATCTTACTACAGTGCGTAATATGACAGTTCGTCATATTGAACTACTGGGATTGATATGATATGTTATGGTAGAACATAGCCTAACACAACCTGTTATACTCGAATATAATCAAACGTAAGAAATGGTCATTTCTAGCATATGTTCATATAGCCAAGATAGTTTGATATGGCCTTATACAGTTGATTATAATTCAGTGCCAAAAAGCTTTACATAACATCGCAGAATAGAACAGACGAGAATCGAATACTATCTATTGAAATATAGCACTTCGCGACTTGTTCGGCCATGCAGGAGGCAAAAAATAGCACAATAATACTAGTATGTGTACACATGTATGTACATGTGTATATTCAAAGATGCCCTGGTGCCCCCAGACATCCGCCAGGGTTGTGCACATGTGCGTACCATGCTGCAAGCGAGCCTTCGGCAGGAAGGTTTCTTGGTCAGGGCATGCAGCAGGCAAACACGGACACATGAGCAAAGCTGTTGATTCTTAGTGATGGGAACCTTTGCTTGGGGTGTGGGAAAGCTTATGCGTCCACCGGCCGCCTGCGACACCATCTCGAGGTTTTTCTGAGTTGTGCTGAAAGCTGGGGGGCGTTTGTGCCGTCTGATGCGGCTGCCCCTTTGCAAAAGCGTCATCCCTTGACGCTTCCTGAGCCTGACGCTTGGACACAGTCTAGCTCCCTTCTTGGACCCCAGATCTGGGAGACGCTCTTGGCCGAACTGAAGCCCTTTCTGGCTGTTGAAGACATCGTCTGGTGGGTAAAGTGTGCACGTCAGACGCTGATTGTGCTGCGCAGCCGGTTGATCTGACCTGATCTGGACTTTGGGCTCCACTGCCAGCTCTCCGCATTTAGTTTGAGGCTCTCGGACTTCGATGCACGGAGTCTGGGCTCCGCTCCCCGGTCGTTTCACCTGTCTTGAATTCGATTGCTAGGCGTGCGTCTGATCCAGACTCTCTCGCTCGCTCATGGCAGGATGCATATTCAGACAATATGACACACACACACACACATATATATATATATATGTAAATGTATGTTCGCGTGCATACAGGCATACCTACATACATACATACATACGTACATACATACATACGTAAATACATACATACATACTCTGCTTACATACAATACGCGCATACGTCACATACATACGTTACATACGTACATACATTACATACATACATACATACATACATACATACATACATACTTACATACATACATACATACATACATACGTACATACATACATACATACCCTGCTTACATACAATACACGCATACATTACATACATACGTTACATACATACGTACATACATACATACATACATACATACATGCATCACATACATACATACATACATACATACATACATACACATACATACATTCCTTCCTTCCATCCATCCATCCATCCATCCATCCATCCATCCATCCATCCATCCATCCATCCATCCGTCTACCTACCTACCTACCTACCTACCTACCTACCTATCTACCTATCTACCTATCCACCTATCTA